AAAAAAAAAAAAAAAAAAAAAAAGATGCCAAAACATAGAAACAAACGACCAATCTTTGAATAGGAAAAAGAGTGAATCTACATGATCCCAATCTACATGATCCCAAATGAATTAGCTTATTCGAAAAAGTCTTGTTCGTTGGAAGATCTATCTTGTGTCTGGTACTGCACGGTTCCACTCTGCAAGAACTCCGAATCATTCTCTTCATCAGAAATGATTCACTTGTCCCGAAATGACCTAGCCCATAGGGAAATCTCGATTCATTGGGCCTTTCGATACAATCAAATAGAAATCCCGAAATGACCTAGCCCATAGGGAAATCTCGATTCATTGGGCCTTTCGATACAATCAAATAGAAAGCCCCAAGGGCGCCATATTCTAGGAGCCTAAACTATGTGATTGCCTTTCGATACAATCAAATAGAAAGCCCCAAGGGCGCCATATTCTAGGAGCCTAAACTATGTGATTGCACGGTTCCACTCTGCAAGAACTCCGAATCATTCTCTTCATCAGAAATGATTCACTTGTCCCGAAATGACCTAGCCCATAGGGAAATCTCGATTCATTGGGCCTTTCGATACAATCAAATAGAAATCCCGAAATGACCTAGCCCATAGGGAAATCTCGATTCATTGGGCCTTTCGATACAATCAAATAGAAAGCCCCAAGGGCGCCATATTCTAGGAGCCTAAACTATGTGATTGCCTTTCGATACAATCAAATAGAAAGCCCCAAGGGCGCCATATTCTAGGAGCCTAAACTATGTGATTGCACGGTTCCACTCTGCAAGAACTCCGAATCATTCTCTTCATCAGAAATGATTCACTTGTCCCGAAATGACCTAGCCCATAGGGAAATCTCGATTCATTGGGCCTTTCGATACAATCAAATAGAAAGCCCCAAGGGCGCCATATTCTAGGAGCCTAAACTATGTGATTGAATAAATCTGGACTCCTCCTTTCCCTTCTTCAAACTTATTGTTCATAGAGAAATATATGATCAACGATAGAACAAGATCCATCCATTTTGTATTTGTTCATAGAGAAATATATGATCAACGATAGAACAAGATCCATTTTGTATCATACGTAAGGGATTCCTAGGTTCGGGCTGAAGAAGCAATGTCACTCGAACATTATCAAATCAACTGCAATCTTTTTATGTCCGGGAGTATCCGAATCCCAACAGAGTGCCTTCAACTTTCAAATATTTTTTAAAAAATAGGGTATTTTTTAATTGTGAGTGACCATTTTTCATAACTTTTAATAGAAAAACATTAGTTATTTTTATATATATATATATATATATATATATATATATATATATATAAACTATTTTTTCCGTTTTAATTTATTAGTATATTGCTAAATTTAATTAAAAAAAATTTAAAATCTTAAATCTAAAAAATATATGGTAAACATTAAAAAAAAAATACAGTAAAAAAAAAAAAAAATCATTAATATAAACATAAATCAAATAATAATAATTTTTGTCAAATTTAGTCGAGAAATGGCTTACCTATTAATTTTAATAAATCGAATTGATTTTTTATATTTTTTTAAAAAATATCAACTAAACTGTGAAGAGCCCAACCCAACTTACTGCCCTTGGGCCCCGGCGGTTCAGCCCAAATCTTATGTTAACTCAAAACGACGCCGCGTAATCAAGTAGAGAACTGATTGCTTAAGCTTTAAACCCTAGTCCCGTCGCCGCCGTCTTAACTCAGTCTCCGGCGACAGTTTGCGTTCATAATCTTCCCCACTACCTGTGAAAATCTCCATTCTGATTTTTTTTGTTCGCAGCGAAAATCTCCGAGCTTATTCGTCTCTTTTCAATTTTTTTATTGCTGGAGGACGATAATTATGCTATTCTGATCTGAAATTCTTATTGAGCTCGGTGTTTTTTTTGTTCTACTATCGATTATTGAGGAAAATCGAACTTGTAAATCGACCAATGCTGGACGAAAGCAAATTCGACGTGCATTTGAAACTCTGGGCGCTAAGAATTCCCAGGGAACTCTGTAAATCCGCCATTAAAATACTGAACGGGTACGTCTTGTTTTTTGTTGCTTAGTTTCTTAATTGTACATTTCTTCGTTTCTTAGTTGAACTGTTCATCGTTCTCATCCGGGTTCGACAATCTCTATTTTCTTGAAAATATTGTTTCGATATTGCCTTTAGTTTTGAAGGTAGATTGTTCTTCGGTCTCAGTTCGTTTCTTCTGTAAAATTTTTAGGTACTTAATTGATAGGCCCCGGATTAAACCTGTGACGGAAGATCCAACATGTGATAAGAATCGGTATGTTATATTATCGGAAAAAGTTCAATCTACAGGTAAAATTCTCTGTCCTTGCACTTACAGACTTGGTTTTCTCTGTTCATCATGCTCTTTAATAAGACTTTCTGTGAGCCAAAGCTCTTTGAAATGGCATCCTACGTTTCTTCTTCCCTTTTTGGTCCTTTTTTAAGGAAATTTCCTCTGTTGTGATTCTTTGAATGGCTCAGAGTTGTCAGAAATTCCAGAAATGAAGCTTGAAGAATTGAAAGGTTTATGCGAGATTGAACTAGTTCCTTATTCACTAACTCTTGGATATTCTTATTGGGGAACAGGTAGTTTCAATAATCTCGTATTTTATTTTATGCATCCTGCAAGTTTTACTTTCTCCTCAGGATTATCCATTTTATTTTTTCTTGTTTACACTACTCGGAGTTACTTTCCACACATGACTTGACGCATTGTGTGTATCGACCCTATTTTTCTTTATAGAATAGAGATGTCACTACATGCATGACGTGTCTAATATGTGCGTAAAAGTCTGGAAATATTTCATAACGATGCCATGGACATAAATGTTTATAATAAATTCATTTTGGGCAACATAGGGGAAAATATATGAATTTAAATAAAAAATGAGACAATGCCCTAATCTAACCTACGGGCTACTAAAACAAAAAGAATGCGACTACCCAGGTTTGGTCCCATGACCTTTACTTCAACGTCGTTTTCCATAAAGGGGTGCCTTACCTTAACTTGAAAAATAAGAGTAGTACGTGGCTTGAGTATTTTAAGAAATATTCAGTAAGTAACCTGACTATTGGGGTAGGGAAACGCATACACAAGCAATCATGTTTGGACCTTTCATTGCGTAAAAACATCATATCATGACCTTGTTCCCGACTTCCAGTCCGGGAAGTGTTGTATGTTGTCTTTGACTAATATTATGATGATTGCATATACCGTGTCTACTTTTCAGTGATAGTTT